ATAATTAATTTATAAAATTTTATATTAATTTTTAATTAACAACTATTTAATAAGTGTATTTATTGTAATATATATTGTAATTGTAATTATTTTAAAATAAATGTAAAATAAAAGTAAATATATTAAATAATATTTTTTAAAAAAATTAATTTTAAACATCTTAGAGTAGAAATTAAATTAACTAAAAAAAAAAATACACCTATACTTAAACAACCAGAAAAGCATTCTTTCAAGCAGATCAAAAATTGTTTTAATTGCTATTTAATTGAGAGTTAACAAGGGATTTGGACAATTTAATCTAGGGGTGGCAATTTCCCCCTCATCCCTGTGGGGATCCCCACCATGAGAACAAGGCGGGGAGGAGTAGGATAGGGACGAGGGACATTTTCTCCCAGCAAAATTTCACGAGGAATTTCTCCCATCTTGTAGGGTCCCGCGGAGATCTCCGTTCTTACCAGAAAAAAAATTTATTTTAAATTTAATTTACCCTTCAAATTTAAACCAAAATCCAAACTAATTAAAATTAAACTTATTCAACCCAATCCAACTTAACCAAACCCAACCCAATCCAATTTAATCAAACCCAACCTAACTCATTCCCCTAAATTTAACCTTAACCCTATCATTCCCCTAAATTTAACCTTAACCCTAATTCATTTCTCTATTCTAATCACTCTCACTCTCACCTTCTCATATCTCAGTTTCTGCCTTTGGTCTGTTGCTCACAAATCTGCTCTGTTGCTATTCACGAATTTGTTCTTCACGAACCCTTTTGCTTGCTGCTACTCACAAATTTGTTCTGCTCTGCTATTGCTCACGAATCTGCTTTGTTCTGCTGCTGCTCACAAGTCCTTCTACTCTTCACAAACCCTTTTGCTTTGTTGCTACTCACTCTGCTAGTTGCTGCTCACTATGTTGGCTACTTCTCACGAACCCTTCTCCTCTGTTGTTATCGAAAGCCATCTGCTCTGTAAAAGATAGATTAGAATTTGATATTTGATGGGGAACGGGAACAGGGGGCAAAATCTGCCCCCCATCAAAAATTCCCGCAAGGATCCTTGTCCCTGTGAATCACAAGGATAGGGATGGGGATGGGGAGGGGAAGGAGGTCCCCAACCCCGCAGGGCCCATTGCCATCTCTAATTTGATCATTGTAAATATGTCCTTGCATGACTGCCACGAAACTATTGGGCCAAATGAGCCACCTAAATAGAACCCATCTGGAAACTTCATGGCAATTGCC